TTAAAAAAAATACTAACGTCTAGTAGTTGAAATAGTTATATAAAAAGAGTTTAAAAAATTGAAACGTTAAGACTCTCTAGGAAGCCTCGCCTGAGAAGTTCTTTCTTAAACAGTTTGAACACACTGACAAAACTTGTTTGCAAATGTTTCGTGAAAAATCCCTTGATAAATGTAACGGATGGTAGTTTCTGTAGAAGTGCACTAAGCTGGTTGCTGCATTCTATTCTTCATTTTGGCAATAGAGTCACATTTGCGTAACAGGACACAGGAGAGTACGAGGCCGAAGGTAAGACTCTCTAGGAAGCCTAAAGATGCACCAAATGCAAGTCTTGAATGCAGTAATGATTCAGCACGCACATGTATTGTGGAGCAGGCTGATCATGTGAGTCCCGAGGGACACTGTCCATCTGCAGATGACATTAGACAGTTACTGTCTGAAAGGAACAAAAAGGGGAATGGAACAACATCAAGTAAGCTAACCTCTGAAAGTTTTGTAATTCACATTTAAGTGTTGGAATAATAGAGCTCTTTATGAACCTCGAAAACCAGTTCATTTAGAAGATGCACGTATTGATTTCAATTATCACTTGCAAAATTCCATTTAGTGGTAATGGTCCTTGAAAAACAGATTTGGCTCTTGAAGTCCTTGAAAAACGTTGCAACGTTCTGTATGAGCACTTTTTCAGACATTTTGCAAAGATGCACCTGTATTTGGAACACCAAAGTCACTTTTACCAAAACGTATTGTCCGTAATAATAATTAGGGGGTATCTGACTATAAGCAGGTGTCTAAAAAGCAGGCAGGTTAAGAAAAGGAAGTCCAAGAAAACCTGAACTGTTTTAGAATAAAAACATGGAAGTAAATCAGCCAAGTAAATGCACTATACTGTAACTAAATCACTTGTGATGCATGCCTTTAAAAACAGTAGGGGACGAACAGTAGTGTGCAAATGTGCTGACGCACTTAGAATGTTTGCTATTGATATCCAGTGTGAACATGGCTCTATAGTTGCTACACAATTGACATTACCCGTAGTTCCTACATATGGAAATGAAATACTTTATTTGTTTTCCTCTTTTGTAAAGGTTTTGCTGAACTCTCAGAAAGAGTGAAACTGCTTCGAATTTCCAGTTCCTTGTCTGAAGATGAGGTGCGCATATTGAAGTTTGTTGCCAGAAGCAAACTGAAAGTGGATGCTCATCGATGTAAGGAGATCAAAGATGGTTTAGAATTGTTTGAAGAATTAGAGAACAACGGAGGACTCAGCCATATCTGTGTTGGAGAACTTCTCATAGGCATTCATCGTTTTGATCTTGTCGATATACTAGCTCGACCTGGAACTGGTAAGAGAACTTCTCTTCGTTTGTAAAATAATATCACAGTGCAGAGATATATGCGGTTTGGATCATTCAGTTATGAGTCAATTGACCTCAGTTGTACCCTTGACATTTCCAAACAAAGATATAATACTCTCGAGAGGTTTCGTGGCGTCTTCTAGGCGTTCAATTAGGTTTCGCTCCGCCGTTTATTCGCGTTGCGCTCCCACTACCATATTGTTACTTGCTTACAAATTTAAATTTCGCGATTTCATTAAAGTTCCCCTATGATCACATTGTTGATATCCATTTTTTACATTTTCGCACTCATTAGGTCTTTCTCAGATATCTTGCCAAATTTCAATCTATTACGAACAATAGAACTTGCGGTTTTAAAATATGAGTGTACATCGACACTCCCAGATTTTGTTCAGATTCTTTGTAGGGTTACATAATAAGGTGTTAATGCATTGAGTAGACTATTATCACAAAATTCTTTAACGTCTAAGAGATATCGCAGGCAGCGTGTTCATGATCGGTTTTAGGCCGAAAAATTGTGACCCATTTTTCGACCAAAATATTTCTAAAAGCATTAAACCTTTAAAAGGTGACTTAGAAAAACATTAGAATATAAAAAATTGAGACCGGACATTTCTTAAAAGCATTCTAAGATTTAAAAAGCTAAAAAGTTGAATTAAAAATCGACGACGTTTCGACGTTACCGTAACGTCATTATCAAGCCAAAAATGTATTAAAAGTAGGTTCTATAAATATAGACGAACAATAAGTGATTACAAAAATTGTAAGTTAAACAAAAGGATTTGCACGCATAGGGTCCGTTTAGACGTTCACATTAGGTTTGGATTTCCTGATGTAAAGTATTTCAAACACTAAACAATCAGATTTGCTTTGACACATTCAAAAGATCGCTTCTACCGTGCGCTTCATGGAAATGTTTGCCGATTGCCGATTGCCGAATTTTGTGTTCAGCAACACGTTAAAAAAGGTGTCGGGCTGTGTATGTTTGCACTTCGTTGAGAGTTTTGTTTATTTTTAGACATGATGTTTGTTTTTCTTAGCGATAAAACCGAACACGCGAGATTCCCGCCATCTTTGCTTCAGTAGCCAATCAGATTATGGCTCTCGTTCATGCATTGGGGCGGGCAGGATATCTAAAGATCAGATAGAAAGAATTCTTTCATCGGAAACAACGTGTTTGTGCCTTTTGTACAAAATAGGAAAATAGCGCGTCTTAAGGTGGCTGAACACAGTTTGTGATACCTGTGTTTCATTCACCTTTTTCTCTAAAACCTTTGATCCCTCGGTCGCCAAAAATGGCAGCAAGCAAGTTAACAACACAAACTTTGGTTTTTTGATGTTTGAGCTGACGTATGTGCCGTTGCCATGGCAACATGAATAAGTATAAACAGGCCTTTAAAATCGGTTTAGTTTATTTGTAGAAAATTTAGTCATTAGATTTTCTTTATAATTTGCATGCAGCAAGCTTGTAACGATACTCACAAGTTAACGTCATTTTGATGATAATTTAATAGAGATCTTTAATTATCCCTTGTTGAAGGTTCACTGCAATATCTAGAATTTCCTTTGTTAAAGTTCAATTTTTTTCAATACTCCAGTTACTTATTTCCTGAAGTATTTTCGTGCCAAATTTCATAAAATTCTAATGACTGGTTCTCGAGAAAAAGGCGTATTTCCGAGAAAGCAATTTTTCATTCAATCGCACTTTTTTTACTTACTACGCATGCGCTGCATTTAAGTGGGTTCTTTCGGTAACAACGAAGAAGCTGAGAATTGCTGGGTTCTTTGCATCGTTACCTTTTCTAACATATCTTTGTAATAAAAGACTACAGCCATCACTGCGTTCAATTATAGAGAAAAATAGCACAGATAGTGCGCGTGTTGAGTAAATAAATGATCACTCTATTGACGGCATGTTTGTTTTTTGCAATCCTTGTGTGCGCGCTGAATCGCATCAGCAAAAGCGCGCGCGGAAACTGTGTTCGGCCGCCTTAAACGGGATTACGCTTTACAGAATTGTGTGTATATCGACAATATGTTAGAGAAATTTTTTGTTGGTTCTATATTTTGGTTATATCCGATTTTTTAAAGTTACTTTAGTCGACCCACATGATGCCTTCACTTTCAGTTGACTAGCTAGCTTGTGCAAAACAACTGGTTATTTTCCTGGTGTATCTTCAATTCGAGTAGCACCCTAATCCGTGGTGCGAAACAGTGTAGGCGACATAATCTGCATCGCACAGATCACATGTAAAATGATAAACAACGCATTGCTGATTGACAATTGACGGCCTAGGTTTAAGATCTTGTTCTAATTTCCTGCGTATAAAAACGGGCTGCAAAGTAGGGCCAATCTTATGACTAAGATCGCGCAACTGCCTCCGAGCGGCATTAGCAGAAACTTGATCTTTGAATGGTAGACCAATTGTGACTTTTTAGTCGTCTTGGTTACCCGTCGAGTCTTATAGATTCTGTTATTTCCAATTTTGACTCTCGAATCGCTTCAGTAAGCATAGCGGAGAGAAATACTGACGAGAGCAAACTGAAATAGTTCAGCTGACGAAAGTCTGTTCCTGGTGTTGAAGTTGGCATATTGTTGAATATGATAATAACGTGATTTGCTCTTGGTAATTGCAGGTAACAGTTGTGGTAAAGTACAACATACCCATTGAGCCCTCTGGCAAACTGGATATCGAAACATACCTGGAGAGGATTGGCCACAATGGCAGATCTAGCAAGGTCAGCGTACGTCGATGGCGATCATAAAGAAAATCGAAGAACACTTTCGATACTATGGTTTTTGGGGACTAATAATATTGATGTATTGGAGGAAATAGCGAGCTGGCTCCGCAATTAATTTAACAACGGTTTCCGTTTTAAATACATCTTCTGTTATCGTCAGTTGCAACTGGAATTAATTTGAACATACTAGTCATATACAAGTTTTATAAAATAGGTGTTACCTAAAATAACTTACATAACTCGTATCTACGTGGAAATGAAGCCAAGACAGAAAGTTATTTCCATTTTGTCGTAAACATTATAGGCACAACTCAATTTAATACTCGGAATGACGTTTATACGTTAATATATTAATTACTAAGTTATGCATTAATTATTAAGTTATGGTTATTGTTAAGGACACTAGACAAAGGCCAATTTTGATAAGTTAATAATTGTCTCTATATCTTAGTTACGAACGTAGTTACAATGTTTCCTTTGTTCAACTGGGACCGATATGTGAGTACCTTTGTCATTTTGATTAGGTAACGTTTTTATAGTAATGGGCGAAAGAATACAATGGAACATATGTACAACGTTAATTGTTTTATAATCGTCTAAATTAGAGAATGTTCTTTTAAAAACGTTACTAGAGTGAACGCCCACCTTTTAGGTTCGTGAGCATTAAACTGTTAATCAGTTCCTTTTGTTGTGTAATTCTGTGATTGAATCTTATTTAGTATCTTAGCGTAGTATTTATGCTGGCTATTTTTGATGTATTGTTATTCAATTTCGTTATGTTATCGACTCGAAATCGTTAGTTTGTCTCGTGTAGGTTTTAACTGTTTGTGACGCAACTTTTCGCTAAATTGATAGAAATTTGTTACATCTTGTTATTTCAGTTAACGATCGTTTATTTTGATGCAATAAATCGCCGATAAAGGTCAACTTTGGTTTTCCGTGGTTTACTTGTCTACCCTTGAAGACGACCTGTGAAGTAGTCCCACCCACTAGTTTGTCGCGACACGCCTTGAGCTCGTTTTGTTTCGTCTCGTTTTGGAATTTGCCAGTCGCTGCAAGCGCAACAGTTATACTGTGTTGTGGTTTCTCACTGTACAACATTACGGTGTTATTATTGTCTTACTACTGTCTTGTCTGTTCAATTGTTATTTAACCACAGGCAGTCCAAGCTCTCTCTATGAACCACACAAGCAACACAATATGGCATCGAATTATAAGGGTTTATAAGGGATTTTCTACAAGATATCCATGGAGGTAGTTAAAAGTGAAAATTCTCAATAAAAATGGCTTACCTTATTCCATA